GTTGTGTTTCAGTTTCTTTGTGGAATGCGAGGTATACTGTAGTTAAAAGAGATTACTTAGCACATTCTTTTAAAGATTTTTGCTGTTATACAGGATGCTGTCATACACAATTCTTTAATTAGAAGATAGACACATAAATACGCATTGTCATTCTTTAAACCTTTATATGAAACTAAAGCTCCATCTATTGGTAAACTTGAAAACTTATACACGAACTTTAAACAGATACCTTTCTCACAGCATTTATCGCGCAAGTTAATGACACATCAAATGTATACCTTCGCCCTAACCCTGATGACGTTTTCAAATAGCATATTAAACATTACAATTGCAGGCTTATACATAAGAATTCCTGGATAAAAAAGCTCAATTTGAACTACGGTGTATATGTTATAAATCTTTTTTGCATGGCCCAGATCTACAGGTCTTGTACCATAGCAAGCGGAAAGGGTCAGTTTAATGCCATCCATATTTGTCTGAAAAGGGTTTCACTATTGCCCAAGCATCTGTATATATAACCCATATATAAAACGCATGACGTAATGTCTAGACAGTACCACGTGACCGAAAGACATAATTTTGGCGGCAAACGTGGTCTCCCGTACATACATTATAGAAAGACGGAAACATGTATTTAAGAAAAGCCAGCTTGTCATAGTAAGTTTAGTTTTCATGAATGATATTTAGATAATCACAAGTCTAATAAACCTTTACCTTTTATGTTCTAGATATTGAGTGGGTATCAGTTAAATATATACATATTGTTGTTAACACTACTAGTATATACATAGCATGTTGGGCCAATGTTCAAAAATTGACCTTGAGGTAAGGATTTTTGAATACTAGAAAATCACTGTTGCCCACCTTCAAATCTTTCCAAAGATTTAACTTGATTAAACGCCTCATCTAATTGGGCTCCCAAGGAAGCCCTCATTGTACCACGAAAAAAAACCAGTTTTCCTCAACGAACGATACGCAGGACTTAATTTCGATATACAATGAAACGTTGAAATATTCGATTCAAAATGAAAAGTGACTGCTATAATTTCAGTACGACGTGATCATGTTACCTTCGCTTGTTAGATTAAGGGATACCATGAGCCATGATTTTTGTCATGTCATTTTGTACCTATACTGAGTGTGAAAGGTAGAATGTGTGAACGTATGTGGGATTGAGTAAAGAACGTTGCATATGATGTTGCAATCCTTTCATTTTGCCCAAAGGCTCATTTCCAATGAAAGTTTCGTTCCACGTAGGTCTATCCAACTGATCTCGGTGAATGCAATCAGAAATACAGACAACCGACGAAATGTAATGTAAACAAGATTGAAGAAGTCAGTGATAATAGACAATAGCTGTTTTTTTTTCTTTATATGCGATATCACTTGTCCAAGATGATAATAATGAAATGTTTTGGACTGCTAAGGAATGACTTATTGCCTCTCGTGGGTTACCTTCAGCTTTATTTATAAATGTCTAATAGTCACGTTTTAACACAGTATTTTAGAATTTAAAAAAGTACGTTTAATTCTTAACTGACATGTCAAACCCGTTGGCCTTATTGTACTGGATTTCACCAGGAAAAAAATTTAAATGAATGTTTTATTTTTCACAATGTAGTTTTTAAATTGTAGCTATAACTGGTGCTTACGTTAAGGTACAGACAGATATTTAGCTGAAGGGACCATATATATCTTTAAACAAACCCAGATTTATTCTGTAAGTTGGCTGTACGTTTTCATAGCATGAGATAATGAGACGTTCAGTAAGATAGTAACTCAAGCAGGCTGAATCTTGTACATAAAATATTTTAAAAAATGATAGCTGGAGAAGAGAAACTTCCTTGAAATAATTGGGTTGATATAAAGTGCACAATTAATGCAATATTCAAAAGAAGCCGTTTTCTAATGCAGTATCCTCGTTGGTCGATCATACGTGCACAAACATTATTTATGTAAGATGCAGATGATGTAGTTAATAACTTTGCTATTTAATTGAGTAAACATCTTTTTAAAACTCTTGCTCACTTTTTCTCACTCTCTACTGAATGAGCGAGTGGGTCGATCTTTTTGGGAGATTAACATACTTCATATATTGCTTAAATATTTTGTTACTTTGTACATATTTTTACGTTATCAATTATATGTCATCTCAAGAGTAAGTTTTCAACATCAAACAATACATTTTATAACCTTGACCTTAAGTACAATTATATAGCTTACAGTAAGCCCATTGAATTGTTAGTTTCACCAACAAGATTTACTTTGTCTTTTAAATCTAAATCTTGAAAACAACAACAGAGAAACGTTTGTTATTCTTTTTTTTTTCGGTACAAATACCAGCAGTATATTTATAGTTTATAACACAGACATCACAATTGTTTTTTTATACCTTGTCACTGAACAAGATATTTTTCCCTTAATTTTGAATGCTTTTCAGCAAATTTAATCAGGAACTGAATCATCTTGTACATGTATGGGTGCTTGTAACGTGTTGATAGCCACACACACACACACACACACACACACACACACACACACATATATATATATATATATATATATATATATATATATATATATATTCCAAACAGATACACAATTAAAATCATGTACAAATGTACTTAAAATATCCCCTAAATAATATATATATATATATATATATATATATATATATATATATATATATATATATATATATATATATATTGCATGATTTTAATTGTGTATCTCTTTGGAATGCATCAATAACTTCACACACAGACTTCACACACAGACATTCGGGTTCACATCGTACATGTAAATGCTATTGTAAGGCAATATTTCTGAAAGGGCTAAATGCTTTACTTCTAAAATAAGAGCAACTTAATTATTCACTACATTATTACTACAGTACATTTATAGAATCAAAACAAGCCAATACTTGACATTCAAGTAGATTCACTGAAAAGGATGCCTTGAAGAGAAAACAATATTAAAAGATAGCCAATTGCAAACATAAAGATCTCAACAAGACATGCTACATGTGCAGGCCAAGTTGTAAATAAAGCTTTGTCTGAAAATGTAAGTAGGATGCTATCTAACTGCTATTAATAAACATTCATGAATTAAAATTAATTACTCAGTGATTTGATTTATAAGTGGAAAATACCTAAAATTAAACTACTGATAACCATTAGGCATCATTTTGTTTTTGTTGAACAGGATATATATTAAAATAAAATTATATTAATACAATGTATTTATTCAAATATTGTGAAACAAGATTAACACCTCCTCCCCATCTCTCTCTCTCTCTCTCTCTCTCTCTCTCTCTCTCTCTCTGTGTGTGTGTGTGTGTGTGTGTGTGTGTGTGTGTGTGTGTGATTTTTGGCCATTTCAAATTGCTATCACCGGTAAAAATTAAAATTAAATATTAAATTAAATATTTTACAATTAATAGGGCAATATTAGTGACTGGTGTTGATGGATCGGTGAATTAAGTCCAGGAGAGTTCCTAACTTGTTGACATTGATCTCTTTTCATAATTCTTAGGTTTACAAAGATCCAGATGTTGAGACTCGTGGTTAACTTTATAATGTCTCTTTTTTATCTATGTGGCTTCGTCCTTTTTATACTTCTTCAGAAAGAAATGATTGCACTTATATTTAATGCCAAAATGACATATTATTTCTTTTTGGTGTGCTTTTATTATTGAAAGTAAGAAATTCACAACTGTTTGATATGTAGTATGGTAAAATACTTCATAACCTTATGTTTTTTTATAAATCCACGTACGTATATTCTATAGATAGGGTGTCTACTGTTTTACATATACTTTGTCGTTTGTTTTAATAAATTGTTACCATATGTGTTAGACCTGAAAATTAGAGATAAATGTTTTGCTTGGAGAATATTTTGATTATTTTCCTGGGCTAATGTGAAATGAGTACAATGTAACTAGCATTTGAAAAGCAAATCATATCAAGTCTTAAGGGAGCCGTTATTTCAGCCAGTTAGAGCTGAAATAGAGATTGGGGTCATTTTATAAAAGTTTTAATTTGAGTTGAACTTTGTTTCAGAATAATCTCTCATCAATGTTATGTAAATTTTATAAATCAAACGAAGATAAGATTCGTACTATTTATGTTCCACATACATAGCCTCATTTATGTTCTGTCCATTCTGTACACATGTGCTATCTTATTTTTATTTGTACAAATTATGATATATTGTGCTTAAATTTATTTGTGCTAAAAACTTTTTAATTTTTTCCAAGCCCGCTTCGTGGGACATTTTATTTTGCACTGAGCACAAGAATATATTACAACGCCTGGAGTACAATGTAGCTCCAGTATTTCGTGATATTTGCTGTAAATCGCCAGCCTTGTCACTTATTTCCTCACCATCAGGCACAAAACACCGGAATATTTCGGTCCATGTAATATGGCATTGAACTGATACACTCAAAAATTACTTGTAAATATGCTATGGAAACATATCTTTGAACACATTGATCTTACAAGTGATGTTTTGAAGTTTTTGTTTCTTTTTTAAGTCAAAACATATAGTGGGGTGTTTCAGAAATAACTTTTAGAAATAAGTAATATTTGTCGCATTTGTTACGTTCTAGTTTGAAATACATACTGTTAACTTTCATTTTATTTGGAATTTTGGTGTTGCTTACTTCAACACCCATTTTACTTTTCATGACCTACTGAATCAGTTTCATAACAGTTGCTGCATTATAAACCAAGTCGTTTCCAGCTTTCTGATTACATGTTTACATATTTCTTCATTTTAAGACTTTTGGTTTAAGCGTCGAAGAGAAGTTATTCATTACTGTAACCTCAACATTCAAATAACCGTGGTTGCGGTATCGATAGTTTATTTTAATTTTATCGAGTTTACATTTTTGTAATCTATGATAATTTCCTATCACTACGTGTAAGAGCTTGTTATTAGGGCACCATGCCATGCTAATAAAAAAAAAACTTAAGGACTTACCTGTATCATTTTAGGTGTTCCCAGCACAGGTGCACCATTCTGGTCATGGATGGCATTGTACGTGGTCAGTTTATTCCCTCCAAGCTATAAAATGAACGACCCAGGGTGCAGCATAGTTGAAAGGAGAAGATATATGAAAGGACCATAACATTGCCGTTGCACGATGATGTCTTCTTCTGCCAGGCGAGTACAAGCTTTTACCACAGCCGTTGGCTGCCGAATGCTAAAGGCTAAAGAAATAATACTGTTACCGACGTTGTGGCATTTCTTCTGTGAACATTTAACTGGACACTTAAAATGGCTGGCTAATGCTTAATGCCAAAGTAATAATGCTGTTACGGAAGCTGTGTTTGGCGGCGTTTTTCCATGAATTATGATATCAATATATAAATTCCTTTGTGCTGTTCATTTATTTGTAATCATTCTTTTTCAGAGACGTTTATTTTGTGTAAAGTTTGAATTTCATGCACAATAAATGTTGTTCTATAGTATATGGAAATTAATAACTTTCCAGGATATCAAAACGTTGGAGACCAAGTATCGTCAAAATAAACAGCCTGGATCGCGGAAGTGTGTCACTGGGAACTACGTGGCTTTTAGCAATTTGTCCACAATCCATGTGCACAAAAATAGGCGTAACCTAATCCACGCTGAACACAGGCACGATGCTGCTGCATTTAGGGCGGTTGTAAAGACAGAAAAGCCATTAACTGATGAAAGTTCACCTACAAATATACACTGGCTTTTAGATGAGTTTGTCATTTAAAAAAATAAACATTAATTTCAGTTAAATGGGTGTAGGTTTTTAAACCGTGGGAAAAGCGTGAATGGTTATTTAAGTTTTAGAGGTATAGAAAGAGACTAAAGAGTTGAGACTTTAACTATATGATCTCTAGACTGCTGTTTTTCACAGGAATGTTTAACATTGCTGCGATGTCATTGTTATCGTTTCTTTTAACGGTTTTCATTTAATCTAGATATTTCATATTTTGAAACAGTTTTAACCGATATACTGTATATTTTCTATTTATTGGGAAAATGTTTGTAAAAATAGTTAACTGGAAATTATAATGATTAAGCGTGCAAAGCAATAGATCATATTGATTTTCATTTTGCAATTACACGTCGTTACTTAACTTTTTTTCTTCTTTGGTGCTCAACGTTTATACGACTGATTTTGTATATGTCAGTTCTAACAGGGACACATTTCTCTTTCATATTGTATATTCGCATTTTTTGTGCTTTATTGTGCATTTTCTATCATATTTTTATTTTGTTCATGTAAAGCATCTTCTTTTCCTTCTTTATTTCACAATCTCTGTTTTACTTCTTGGTGAACATCATGGTCTACGCAAGCTCACATCAAAACATCTAATATTGCTCTCTAACGAACCATATTACATACTTGTGTTTTGAAACGCTACACTTTAATCTATCTTTCCCCCAAAATAAAACAAACACCAGCTAGGCATGTAATAAAAATGTTATTTCTATACTATTAAAACTGGGGTATTGATACTTTTGCATTGTATAATATTATTATATAATATAATATAATATAATATAATATAATATAATATAATATAATATAATATAATATAATATATAATATTATAAATTGTATAATTGTATAATACACTGTGTAAAACATATAATTCTTATGTTATAAGATTAAACTTTTCGTTTTCTACAGAAAAATAAAGCTGTACCTTAGAGAGCTTTCGGTCTCTCCGTAACCTTCTTCATTGTATTTTACTATGAGACTGAGCACTATTCACTAATGTATTCAGTAATAGTGCTGTCTTTTATGAGCGACAATCGGCATTGGCTTTAATAGGGGGTGTCATTTTAGAAAAACTATTTATTTACTAATGGACATGGGTTTTAAAATGCGTTCAACAACACATGGACTTAGAAAGATAGGTTCTTATTCGTATATTGTGCAAAAATTACTGCACATGTTTAAGGACGCGTTAAAGAGGGCCCCTGATTCTGTGGTGCCCTGTTGTAAGGGGGTAACTATCCTTACAGATTATTATTATTATTATTATATAGTGAGATGGCAATGTTGCTTGATCATTTCAGTTGTTTTGCTCTGAAGCCGCCACCAGCTCGAGTCAAACCAATTCGTGTTAATTGATTTGATGCTAATTATAGTAATAATTTATTGAACACTTAACTTAATATTCAACAGCTCTTAAAACTACCGTCACCATACTGCGTAAGCTTAAAAAGAGACAATGTGATACAATTTAATAACGTTTCTTTTGTAAATTATATCGTTAAAATATTCTATATTTTGTATTATACTGTAAACTTTCAACGTTTTGTTCCCTGTCCTTGCAAAAACTGTCTACACTTGTGAATACTGCGGGACCCAAGTTACTATATATTTAAATCTGTAAGTGTAATGGTTTTTCTCTCCTTATGTCTTTTCGTGACGTGCTGCCCCTATAAGTTGATTTATCATCGAAATACATTTGATTAGCATATATTGATAAATACAAATTATTTGGAGAATCCACTTATTTCATTGGATGTTTATTATTATTTTTCATTCTTTAAGATTTCTTTTTGTAAAGTTTGCATGCACTATTTTAAGATATTTTAAAGGTTTATTCTATAAATTCATATGCCATGTGTGACACTACCTGTTTTCCTTAAACTTTTATTGAGCCATGCAGTTAATTATTTTTATTTGCTTGTTTGTTAATTAAGAGAACGTATAAATAAATAGGTTATTGAGAAACAAATATCCTTCAAAGTATGCTGTAATACACGGGATGCTGTTATGTACTTGACTGAGTATCTTTTACATTGGTTGTTTTTAATTTTTATTGAATGGTCTATTCNACTTTTATTGAGCCATGCAGTTAATTGTTTTTATTTGCTTGTTTGTTAAAAAAGAGAACGTATAAATAAATAGGTTATTGAGAAACAAATATCCTTCCAAATATGCTGTAATACACGAGATGCTGTTATGTACTTGACTGAGTTTTTTTTTACATTGGTTGTTTTTAATTTTTATTGAATGGTCTATTATTTATTTTTGTCACCACCTCTATCCGTGCTACATGTACGTATACAGACTAATATTTTTGTATGTATTTTTGTATGTTTTTTTTAATTATTGTTTTTCTTTTTATCAAGAGCTTATAAAATATGTGGGTATTACCTCCAATATTTCTGTGACTGTCAGTCACCATCATCAGGGAGTAAATGACTAGGGTCATTTCACCTGGAATGAAAATCCAGGTCAATTGCCCCTAATCACTGGTCTTGTGTTGTAACTGTTACATCCTCCCCCCGGGGCTCCTCTGCATCCCTCTGGAGCACCGTGAGGTAGATAGCTAGTAGATCATATCCCCCTGTCTGTTCAGGTCTGGTTGTTTGGTCCTGATTAGGGGCAATTGACCTGGATTTTCATTCCAGGTGAAATTACCCTAGTCGTTTACTCCCTGATGATGGTGACTGACAGTCACAGAAATATTGGAGGTAATACCCACATATTTTATAATCTCTTGATAAAAAGAAAAACAATAATTTAAATTGATACATACAGAGCTAATGAAACTGTTCTCCAGATATTTTTCTCTGTTTTTCGAGTTTAATAAAATTATGGACACCATGTTTTGGGCGAAGAAAGTAACGGAAATAATATCAGAATATGGATTTTTTTCTATTCAATTCACAGAGATATCAAAGGAAATTTGGCCACAGATGACAAAAGAATTTTATTCTTACGTATTCTAATGGGCTCATACAAAATAAAGTGTTTATTCTGCTTGAGTATTGAAAAAATCGTAACTTGATAGGTCCCCATGCAAAAGACTCGCACAATGCGTTTCATGAAAATATTTTTCAACCTAACTAGGACTTCCGACTAGTCTGTCTTAAGACCAGTTTGTATAGCTGCCTACCGACAGAATAAAGCAGCAGGAATTTTGTCGCCGCATTCTCATAAAAAACGAGGGTGGCGCGAATAAGCACCATGAGCGCTTTACCTGCATAATGATACAGGGATGTTTTTATGTTGATTTAAAACTATAGTGCCGTCTGTTACTGTCTGGAAATGAAACTATATCCACTGTGGGATTATACCCTTTATGGTGCAATTGTAAGGATAAGATTATTTTTGCTAAAAGTTATATAAAAGAGAAAGGGATACTCGACATAAATGGCAAATCAGCTGAAGAGAACTATTTTCTTCCTCTACAAACACGTGTAGGAAAGCTAAAGGATAAAGTACAATGTATAAATTACGTTACTTCACGCTTAGCTCTTTTTCATTAAGTGTTTTGTGATTTTAGGCCAAATAAAGTCCTTTTCCCTCCATTTTTGCTGAAACTTAAATTATATCTTCAAGTTGTAAATGATTTACCATGCATGATTATCATTCATATGATTATATTTAACTGAATGTATTATTAATTCGTACTTTGTGTATTAGTCAAAGTACAAATGTCAGTAAAATGACATTTTCAACTAACAACTATATGATTCTGTTGTATTAAAAAAAAACAGGAAATTTCTGACAATAAAGAAGCCTCAGAGATTCCTCTAAATTCATGCACACATAAATGTTTACTTTTATGACTTTTCCTTTAAACTCACATTATAATTCTTAATAAATCAAAGCAATGCTAATGCTAGATTGATATTTTGAAATGGAAAATATGTGAGATCCGATCTCAGAGGGACCTTTTTACAAACATTGCGTACAGTAATTTAATTTTTTTTTTGTGGCAAAATAAACAATAAAGCAATGTTGAAATTCTCGTAAAATAACTTTTTTAAGATCGAAGATAAAAGTTAATTTTAAATAAATGATATAAACTTCACCAAAGATTAGTCACGAGATATTTTGACGAACCCTTATGCATTTGGTGATTTTTATATTTCGTGAAATATTCCTATGGTCTAAAACTATCGGGGAAAATGTCTTACCAAAATATTCAGACAATAACAAAAGCTTTTACAGGGATTACTGTGATGATGAAAGTATATAGATGTATCATCAGCTTATTCTGAGAGCTATTTTAAAGCAAGTTGAAAGCATGAAATAAAAAAAAAGATGATTTTGAGCGTGTATGTCAACCAACATCCACTCAAAAAATTAACTCTCTCAAATATTTCCACATTTTTATCTGAGTTTAGTAGCAGAAAGAAATCAGTGTATATCAATGAGTATTTCATGTTTACTCCATCAATAATAGAAAGATGTTTTCCAAGTGCACTGTTGAATATTTATATTGAAACATGAAATAAAGGGCTCTGGAAGAGTCTTAATATATGCAAACAGTTTGACTTTGATAGGCACGAAATAAACAGATGCTAAATTTCAAACGCGTAAAAATGCTTCGGAAATGAACAGCAATTTGCAAATATCAAAATTATATCACCCGATTGTGAATAGAGAATTTTTCATGCAGCGATGAATATTTCATATGTTTTATCATATTGATGTAAAAAGCAGAAGAAAAGATTCAGCTTGTTCCGCACTGTATACAATTTCCTCCGGGTAGACATGGGTGAGCCCGTAGAATGAGACTGAAAATTCCCAAAATTGCCGAAATCAATTGCAAATTTGCTGTATTTCCCAACAGCTGAGTCCAACAAGTCTTTCATGTGACCCTATAGACACCCCAGACCTTTAGGAGTTCGAAATTTTAGCTTTTATTTGAAATAAAAAATGCCATTCAAAATACAGGCGGCTGTGGTTGTGCTGCTAGGTAAATGGACATATTTTTATCATTTACTATTTCTTTGCCATGTTTTGCCACTGCGTTAAAGGAATATGAGTTTTTGTGAGCCCTCGCAAAAGTGCTAAACTTAATAATAATAATAATAATAATAATAATAATAATAATAATAATAATAATAATGTCTTTTTAACCACTGTATATAAATTACAGAATACAATTGAAACGAAATTTGTTAGACCATCTTAGGTTTAAAAAAGATAACATAATATATACAATATTTAGTGTTTAATAACCTTACCTGTCTCTTACATCCTGACGTAGTCGCCTTGTTATTTATAGTAAACACACGTTTCTGTATATCTCAAGTAGCGAGGGTTACATGATTACAACACCACAGACTGCCTAACCAGAGGCATCACTTTCCTGTGTAACATATGCAACCATATGAAAATGATTAAGATCTGCCCCAGCGCGGTTTACATGTATGAGTTAGTTAAAATAGTGTCTGTCATTTTTAAACTCTGAATCTGGGTCAGTTGCATATTTGTTTTTCGAAATTTACAACCTAATTTAAAATGTTTATTACCGGGCTATATATAATGAGTATTTTGATCCCGTGACAGAATCATGTGCATATATTTTTCGCATATTTACCCTTAAGAGACAACGAGTGCCTATGTAAAGCGTAATTCTGTGTAATCCAAGGCAGAGCGTTACACAGGTTGTCCTTTCAAATAGAGAAAAGTGCTAAAATAAAATTGGTTGATTGTAAAATAAATGTTAACTGCATATGTTTTATTTTCTACATAAAATTTTGTGACACAGGCATAAAAATGACATGAGAGATGTTATATTTTAGAGATTTGACATTTATATTCTTGTATGACCAATGCCAGCTTCCAGAACATTATCTAATGTTTTGTAGGCAAGCGCGAATTCTAAGAACATTTTACTTCAGCCTTCTTTACTCAATGTTAAAGCCTTCTCTGAGTCATCTGTTTTTTTTTTTTTTTCAAATATCTTCATTTAAACGTCTTATGCATGACACGAAGTGCTAGTATCAAATGAAATGAAATAGGCTTGTATTTAAATTCAAAGATTTGCACTTTACTCCCTTGTCTAATGATATCCATGGGCACAAACACAATCATGAGAAACACCTGGTTTCGAACGCATTCACATTGCGGTAGATGGGATGAGATGTTTGATAGTTTCCTGATCAACTTGAAGGCAACTATAAAATGTTGTCCTTCTTATCCAGTTTTAACAACAAGGTACATGTAAAAAGTTAGAATAAATCTCCAATAATTAAATGCAAATATGGCAAAATCATAACGAATTATATCTTCATACCCAAAAAAGATGTTTCCAAGCATGACTTTAACATCTAAGTCTTACCAAGCACTACATGTATTTAATCAAACTGGGGTAAACCGTATGTTATCAGTCATTAAATAGGACGCTGACCTGAGTTGGTCTGTTTGCTGAACCACTATGGCCGAGACTCTTTCCTCACCTGCCGAGGCGCCGACGGCGACCAAGGGTATCCAGTTAATTGATGGCAGTGGCAAGCCGTTCCCAGCACTTGATATAGATGGCTTGATGGGAATGGCGGGGTTTAAGAATATAGAAGAGCGCATGAAGAATCTGCCTAATTTCGTGGCTAGAGAGGATGACGTATGGGTGTGTGCTTCTCCTAAATGCGGTACGTTATATATGCAGAGAGAGAGAGAGAGAGAGAGAGAGAAAGAGAGAGAGAGGAGACGTGCATATTTGAGTGAGCATAATGTACATGTCTGTGCATACATTATGCCTAGTCACATGCGCATCCCAGCTAAAACTGTCGTATATCCTAGGATTGGGAGAGAGGGTGCACAAAATAATTTTTGGTCTCAACTACATTCCATTTAAGGCATTTCGAAATTAAGAAGGCAAGGGACGCGTTCCCGCTGTGCACCCACATTCATGGAATCGCCACCGCTCCCCTTAAAATTCAATACCTACAGTATTTGTCTTCTGATATTTATACTAATACATGTATTTTCCTATTATAAATCCACGATTGTAAATCATGTGAAGAATTAACTTATTAGCAAATTCCACTTGTCAAGTTAGAATATCGGAGGTAATACAGATGTTAAACTAGTCATGTACCAAATACTGTGTCATTATTAGCTTTTATGATTAACATATTTATTAAATTGTTTATAGACTCAATGGTACATTAAAACCCTTTCGGGTATTATTCTCCTTATATACGCTACAGTTTCTTTCAGGCACCCACTGGGTTTGGGAGGTGGTTTCAATGATCCTTGAAGGCAAGGCTGAGACTATACAAGCAGAGAAAGAAAACCTCTTCTTAGAGATGAAAGACCTAGAAGATTTGGACAAACAACTATCTCCTCGAGTCTTAAACACTCACTTCCCTCTGAAATGGATCCCCACTGACGTGTTCAATAAACGATCTAAGCTCATTTTGGTGATTCGAAACCCAAAGGATGCCTATGTTTCAGGATACCACCATTATTACGGCTCCAAGGGGTATTATGACGGCAGCTGGAACGACTTTTTTGAACTCTTACCACAATTTGCCATGTATGAAAGTGAGTATTAACCAGGGCGTGGGCACTTTAAAGGTACACAAAAGAGGATTTGGGCGGCAAACTTCATATTTAATATATTATCCCTGGAATTACCAGCCTTTAATCTTCCTTTCTTGACACTTGTCAAAACAACTCTGTAGCAATTTTGGAAAAACCCAAAGATAAAAAAGCCGCGCATAAGGTTTTTCATATACGCCTTTCATTTTCATTGGCTCGACTTCCAGTCATCGCGAGACTCTAGATCTCGCGCCCTAAATCGTGCTCTTTTCAAACTATGTCAAGATGGCTGACTACCCAGGTTCGACGGGGGATGGTGAATATGGTTATTTTTAGCGATATTTATAAAGGCCATTTATCTGTCACTTTATATTAAAAAATTAATTGTCCTCAGATAATTTTGACAAGAAGAAAACCATGCATTTAGAATGCGTTTTAAATCCTTCTTTGTGTGGCTTTAATTTTGAACTCTGCTTGGAATTAAATTATATCGAAATATTACCTATTTTATAAAAGTAGATAAATCTCTCTCTCTCTCTCTCTCTCTCTCTCTCTTTCTCTCTCTCTATGTTCGTCCATCTGTAGGTATAAGTGCATTCCGTTTTTTTTATTTTAGATCATTATCTTAATTGGTTCGGATTCAACAAAACATTTTGGGAATTTTCGAAAGATCACAAGGATACTGTCCTCGTCGTCAAGTATGAAGATATGTTGAAGGTGAGCCCGTTTCATTTGATATTTCATTATCGTCATTTTAAGGCACAGTTTTCGCATTACAAGCAAGTACATTGTTCTATAAAATATTCTCCCACATTGTACGTATATCAAAATAACTTTATTCACGCAGTAGAACATCTATCAGCTACCAACATATCAGTTAGGACAAGACTGAGGAAACCGTGGAAAGCTTACAATAATCTGTAACCTTTATTCAAAGTTCTCCGTAATTTATAAGTCTACCTGGACGGTCTCTTATACATGTATACAGGTTTGCTGTTAGCTCAACTAAAATGTGTAACGCACCATAAGTTATGAAAGTGATTCCTAAACGTAAATTTCAGTTGAAAAATATTACGTGTCAATATTTCAATTAAATAATTGAGGTACACGTTTTAATTCAACATTTCAATATCGTTTTATACGAAAATGAATGATTATTGTATCTTATGCACCAGCATGCACTGATAATAATGTGCATTTACATATTCATATACATATAGATTTTTTTAAATATATGACAGTAGGTTACAATACAAAACACTAAGCTACATTATAATAACTACATAATTAAGAATTATATCGTGCAACTTTTCTTTAAACTGTAAATAATAATAATAATAATAATAATAATAATAATAATAATAATAATAGTGATTATCGTGACTGGATACAGTTCGGTGGACAGAGGCTTTTCTTTTGTCAGTCTTTTTTACAATATAATGGTAGCGGGCTTCCTTTCGTGAGTCATATAAGCTTGATAATTTTTTCCTTTGGTGCAAATGAATGTTTACCAATTGAATATTTTTTTATATTGAAAGTCCCTACTCAAATATCATCCCCCATAGGTGGCAGTAGCGGCAATAGACCTACTGCTGTAATGCTTACACAGCACGTGGAGGCACACTTAGATGTTCTAGCTGTTAAATTTTCGGAATCTTGGATGCCCCTACTAGCAATCAGTAGGGGGCATCATATTCGTGCAAGGAACATGTACAGTGTAAAATACTTTTTTTTTCAGGATCAAGTGGGCCATGTCCGAAAGATTGCTGATTTTCTCGGAAAGCCTATTGAGCAGTCTCTCTGTGAAGCCATTGCAGAGAAATGCAGCTTTAAGAACATGAAGAAAGACAAACGGAGCCTCCCAATGGCCGGGCCAGAAGGGGAAAAGGATAAAGAGCCAGAAAAACGGGTATGGAAGGAAAATGCCGTGGGAATGTACAGGAAAGGTAAAGAACTTGGAAATATTAACCAGTATTTCTTTTTTAAGTACAAATCTTGTCCGTGTAGATCTTTTTCTTGTGTCTTTACGAAAGTGGGTTTATTAATCCATAATTCAATTGTACAATGGCATAATAAAGTGTACGCAAAAGTCGTAAATCACGTACATTAAACATTCGACTTTTTTAATTCAAACTTATAACAATATGGTTCTCCGGGAAAGTTGTATGATTTCATGTTTTCATTTTCAAGGAAAAGCCGGAGACTGGAAAAATCACTTCACTGTTGCACAAAACGAAAGATTCGATGCGCTTTATGAAGAGCAAATGTCAGGATGCGACCTTTCCATTGTTTTTGATATATGATTATTTGCTTGTGAGGTACATTGATGGTGCAGGCCGGTTAAACAGATAGATGAGGACAATTGAGGACAATGATGTACGACGAGAATTTAAAGAACGAAAGAAGTGATGATGGACAGAAACAAGAATTTGGTTTAAATACAAAATAACTATTTTCTCTAAAGAAAATAATCGGACGCTTCACCAGCTTCTCTTGTATTGTGACCTCTGGTTCTACTCACATGTAGCTGCTTTGGGAATATTGCATTTTAGTGTGAGAGTTGTAGGTGTAATTAACATATTAAGCAATGCATGGACATCCATTTGCAATTCTTTAAATTCATCAATATGTCACTGCATGCATTATAAAACAAATATTTCTACATTTCAAAATAACAACTCTCAAAATTTCAATTAATACAACAAATCAATACACATAGTACATGTTCCAATGTTATTAATTTCACTTTCAATCAATTACACACTAAACCCACTAAACTGTGTGTGTGGATATTCACTAAATTTCTAAGAACTAATGACAGCAAATAATATACAAGTACCGTGTATTACAGCTGCACTTGTGCCTTAAGTACAAGGTGAAAAAGTTTTAAGTGCACGTGTATTACAGTATGTATATCCTGTGGTTTATAAATGCCATCAAAGGTGGAAACACCCGGTAAAGGTGATACAATTCCGTAAGTGTTCATAGTTCATTGTAAAATTAAAGACGCGTCTACAAATACTGGCACCCAAAGTAAGCCATGGAAATATCTACATTGAGTACATTAACATTTGAGAACATTAAGCGCAGCAAGTAAATGAAAAGCTCTCAGTGGCGTCACCTTCAAGGGGAGCCTTTGCCGTACCTTTCACACTCAGATATATAATGTGTATTAACAAGCGTAAGGCCCGGTCTTTAAACAACCTGCTGTAGAAATGTTCCATCTGCAAAAAGTCAAATAAGAAAAAAAGAAGAAAACAGAAAAACAATGAATATAGGACACTTAGAACTGCGTAGCCGTGCTGGAGGTGAAAATGGCAGTTTATTGGAGAATCTGTATAATTGTGCGACTGAAGCTCTCTTTAAAAGTGTTGTGCCGACTGGCGAAGATGTACGGGTTCAAAAACATGGAGCAGAACGATGGAACATAGCACAGCTCCACAATGGACGGTGAGATCGTGAACCATATCTGAGACACTGACAGGACAAGAAAAGGAACAGTTGACAGGAGGTAGATGGCGGTCAAAATAGAACTGGTCATAGCCATATCTGATATAAAATGTGCCGCGAGGGGCGCATTGCGCACGTCATTGGTCATCTCGTGTTGTCTGGACAAATCATACTGTGTATTTCTATAGTAGTGGGCACCTGGATCGTGAGGAGTATTGATGAAGTGCACTGAACTGCTCCAATGGGTGATGGGGTGTATAAAATTGCGCATGCGCCTAGCTTTAATGGTAAGATATCCATAGGAGCACGTGCATGTTATCAGAAGTACAACTAACGCAGGGACGAAGACAAACAGAAAAATATAGGGTAATATCCCTCTGAGATCAGGCACATCTTCCCTGCTCTTACAGGATTTAACGAAGATCCCATCATCTCTGGGAAAAACGACAAAAAATATCGAAATGCTAAGTATCCAAAACAACACTAATATCACGATTGCAGTTTTCTTTGACATACTCTGCTTCTGTCTCTGGACAGCGTGCACCCTAATAATGCTGATGGACATTAACATACATATGTTCATGAAATTATAAGCGCCTGCTATGGCAGCGCTAAACCTGCACGAATAGTCTCTGAAGTCCCCGGGACTGATGTACCTTGTAGCAAGAAATACCGGAACGCCTATCCCGCACGTTGTGAGGTCTGCTAAGGCCAAATTAGCGTGGAAAATGTTATGGACAGTCCGGAACTTTGGGTGAGTACGGATGATGTGTATAACGAGAGCATTTCCAGGAACGCCAAAGAAGAACGCACAAAAGGATATCGCCAGCGACACCGCTCGAATAAGGTCTTCGGCATATTGTTCCATCCAGCCGGATTGTTGCACGGGGGAAGGCCTTCTGAAACAGAAAAAAACCATTCAACTAACGTGTTATCAAGTTATTGAGATTTTACGAATAAAATAAAAGACTAGCACATTTTTTATTTTTAATTGAACCAGCCTCGATAAGTTAGATCGGTCATTAAAGACAGTCTCAGCGCGTTAAACCCTTAAAATAGCACGAAAATGAATTTTCCTGGAAATCTCACCAATTTCCCCATAATGACCAAGGTATATCCTATCCAAAACCGTTCAGAAAATGAAGCTACCTAATACCATTTTTAAGTTCCATTAAATAATAAAAGACAACTCGTCTTAAATACTCAGCTACCACCTCACAGTACGGCTTCAGAACGCGCAATTTCTCGCTAAGTCTCGCGGTTTACTATGAATGAAGTACTACGGCTGAGACCCGGATGTTACTATTTGGCGCCAAAACAGCAAACATGGCTCAGACGCGCGTCAAGTCTGAAGAGGAGAGCGACAAAAGGGGACGAAAGAAAATAGCCACTCCAGTTCGAAAGATACGAAAGAAAATTAGAGACAGACGAAGAAGCACTCAGACTGTGTATGTTGGGAGGGAGGTGGGGCGGTGGAGGACACTTAAAGCTGAGTTAGGACTCACATACGAGGCAATGGCGAAACTACTCCTCGACACGTGAGTATGCGCTTCACAGGTCTCAAGTGTGTCTGATTATCATATTATCCTGTTCACAATAAATGACAATATTTGTGCTCATACAAAGTTGGTTACGTGTATAAGAGCGTTTTGGGCTTTACGTTGTCTATTTTTGATCGGTACATGTACCGAAAAGATGGACAGGCGGCACTTACATGTCTGACAAGTTTCGCTGTGTAGTCGTGACGTCTATCTCATTCTGACTGAAGCCTGCTGTGATTGGTCGTAAGCGTGGGAAAATCGAGGTCGTGACCTTGAGCCGGAAGTACTTCTGGCTGTGCTCCGAAATCATGATAAATAGTTTTCGTTTTCTAATTCTTTATTCTAGTTGTCTTAACAGGACTTTTATGACCCAGACTTATTAATATAATAATAAACAATCTCACAAAACACAAATCTGATCAAAGTTTTACATAGAACCTGCTTCTATACATTAATCTAACCCACTGAGACTGTCTTTAAGTTTTTCTGTCATGCTTTCACTACAGAACAGAACCCTCCGATACTTCCCTTAATAGCGCTGGAATATTTTAATGATTTGAGATGAAAACAGCATCGCTATCCATTACTCATTAATGTACAGCATGCATTGCTCATTAAAGGGGGCCCGATTCTAAGTATCTACACAGCCGACGCTAACGACAGTATTCTACTCAATTGTTTTATATTTGAGTTTAAAACTTTGAACAAAATACCTGGAGATTTCCAGACCCGGGTCGGGGTTCTTAAACTTGAGAGTCAGTTCCTTCTCGTATGGGCTGGTCAGGCACTACCAACGTCCTGTATGTGTGCTTCATTCAATGTGGGGATCCGGTGTCTGCAAAAGAATAAGTGTTATTTGAGAAAGTAAGCCAAAAAGGCCGTAGTTTTCAGTCAGTTATTCTAAATAAAATAAATTATCATCGTAATGCTTTTGGTTTTGATTTTGCATGAACATTCATTACTGTGAACTTTCACCATTGGGACTTTTTAAAGCATAAAAGCTATTGTATATCAGTTTGACATACAATAGCTTAAAGTCTCCCAATGCGACTGGCGAAGATGTACGGGTTCAAAAACACGGAGCAGAACGATTGAACACAGCACATCTCTGATTACGACATAAAGTACCAACTGGCATTCGACCATGTCCTGCGCTTCCAGGGCGAGACACACAATAACCTACCAGCACTACTCTGACAAATGTTTTAAATTCGCGGAGAAGGGATGAAAAGCAGAATAAAGGGTACACATATTATCTGTTGTATAGGTTGTATATGTCACTGTGCTTGTGCTTATAACTTAACTAGCGAAGCTTTCATAACGAAGATGGGATTGAACTCACATGTGGATTTACTTAGATTTACCATGTATTAATACATGTACATGTGTCTAATGATACAATCAAGAGTGACCGCTAAATCATATGCGGCCACCTTTTTACACAGCAGAATACCCGTTTTTCTTTGCAAGTTGCTTTAGTAAATCGAAAATGGAAAAATGGGAAGGAAATTATATCCAATTACTTGGTGAAAACTTAATAAGATTCTTCGTTTTATGAGCCATGTGTAATAACCTCTTTTAAACCTGACACGTCTGAGCGGACTCATGTTACATGTAGTTAAATACAAAAGATCGAATATCATTTTCACACTATCGCTGACACAAGGTGAGATATCTGTAATCACTGAGTTATCTTTTATGCTATGTGCTATTTATGCTGCCGAAGTCACCCTAAAGTGCACAGTACGTCCTCGGGGACCTTCCATTTATTTAAAAAATGCATTGTCACCTTTCGTTTTCTGTCTTTAATCTCGTTGAAAAACAAATAAATTTTGGCTTCACTAGCATCCAAGAAGTGGGGTAAAAGTTGGCAGAATGGCCGCGTGCTATTTTAGCGTTATCTCAACTATGGTTACGACGTATCCGGAAATACCATAACTATCTCCAAGAATTTAATGCTCCCACCTGCCTCTTCTTTGCAAATAAAATAAGTGCAACATTAAAATTTTATCTCGCAGCATGTTAAAACACCTCGAAAACTATTTGTGTGTTATTTTGTACTTCTTTGTGCTTGATGCAACAACGTTATATATATATTTATATATGATTAAATTAATTAAATTTATTATCCGTTTAATGTTTCGTTGTTTTTTAGTCTACAAGACCGAAAATGATGCAGTTTGATGACTGAAATATAATGAAACCTATTTCATGTTGACACTTTTCTTATCAGCTACAATGTACCAAGATATTGAAATATGCACGCGTGCCCAAAAGACATATATAAACAAATAAATAAACCATTTAAAAACCGTATACTTATGTGCCATTCACACGACTTGACTTACCCTGGATTAAAAAACTAGGGAATGTATGACAATCAGTTAGACACTCGCATCGTACAGGTAGTCTTCCTCATGCCATTCGAAAAAGGTGGTCTGGATTATGACATATATGTCACTATGATATGAATGTGCCTCTAGTAGCTTGCCCCTTTTAACCGAGATAAATTTATTTTTGGCGAATCGGGCAAATCACAGCCTTAATTATCTTCATAATTAACACAAAATGCGTAGGCCTAGGAGTCCAAAGCCTCTTGTTTTGATTTAAACCCACTGTTATGTCGAAAGATAAATCGATACTAGGCAGCGGTAGCAGTAGTATTACTTCCGTGGTAGTAGCTGGCAAGTTTCAACTGAAGCAGTGTAAACAGCAAAGGATACAGAGCAAATGTATTACTTTGGTACCATTTCGAACACCCTTCCTCTAGCTTTATTCATAATTCTACCTGGCAATTAGAAATGAATAGATACAAGGATGTTTAGGTTGTTAAAACAAGAGGCCAGTGTAGTGTTCCATGGAAGAAAAATTAAGCCTTTACTGTTATTGATTGATAAAACTCTCTCTTCATATCGCGCATGTTATCATGTACCACATTATTTTTAATATTTACCTTGTTTTGATAGGCATGCTGGCTCATTGTATTGCACTTGGTTGAAGAGTTTCTCAGTTTTATTCTTCGTTTGTCTTTACATTTTCTTTCTTATTTATTTATTTATTTATTTATTTATTTATTTATTTATTTATTTATTTATTCCTAAGTCATTATTTGATCTAAAAAGCAAAATCCATTGCTAATTTCAGCACAAAAATATTTGACTAATATATTTTAAACCGTGCAAATATTTTTCATTTGATAGCGTTATGATACTGTAAAGTATTCCGAAGCTAAAAAAGTTAGGTCGGATTAATTTTCCAAGCATGGTGTGACCGTTCCCCCATCAAGTTAGAATGTTTCATTTGGATGTCAACAAGGTGAAAAATTTAGATTGAAAGGATATATGAAGAGAGTAAAAGAAAGAGAGAGAGAGAGAGAGAGAGAGAGACAGATGGAGAAGGTGAGAGAGAGAAGGAGAAGAGAAGAGTAGGCTTGGCGAAGACGAAATATGAATAGAATGATCAAAATAATATGATATTCAAAAGCCGTCTGTCTGTCTGTCTGTCTGTCCGTCCGTTTGTCTGCCTCTCTGTCTACTGTACGTTCAAGTAACTATTCTCCTGACGAAAAGTGACGTTTTTTCTTTTCATTTCCTTCCCCTATCACAAAATGTAATAACTGCCTATTACACAATGTCTAGAATACCCCCTTCATCAAGCTCTCCCGTCCATAACCCTATCTAATTTCTTTATGCTACCACAGGTTGATTGAGCACTCCTATTTCTCTCACAGTCGGTGCTCCTCGGCTATAGTAAATCCGCTTATACGGCAGGTGAGTGAACTGCTGATAGGCGTCATGTTTCTGTATTTTGCAAGAACTGACAGTGGCAGAACAGTTTTTCAAAATGTTTGTGGTTGTGAAACCTGGGAAGAACATATCCGTGTTTACGTATAGCAACCTCCTGTGCGTTTACAATAAAATGGATTTCGTCTTTAACGGTGATTCTCCGTCGTTTTCTACTTGTGAAATGGGCAATTGATGAACCAGCATTATGTCTAGCATAATGCAATGATGTTTTAGGTGGGCTAAAAACCACGTTTTTGTAGAAAAATAATCAGTAAGTCTTTAAAGAAAATCCCCGAACCCCAGTTGAAGTATACTTTGTTCGTGTGCTGTAGTACCATTAAAAGCATGTTTATAGCTGTCCAGGTGCCTTAGAAAATCAGGAAACCGAAAATGATGGCCAATAAAAAAACCAACAAAATTAACTTGGAGATGTGATTCAAGCATAATTAGATGTTTTGAAGATGCATTAAATGAACGCAACAGGAATAAAAAAGCTAGGACCTTTAATTTAAGATTTAAGAATTTTAATTTGATTAAAATTATAATGGAAGCTTTAAAATGCAGTTACATATACTACACATCAATGGATTTA